AAAAATTACTTTCGTAGACTAGCCCTTAGAAGCTGTGCAAACAAAAAAAAAAGACCCTAGATTTTGGTAGCCATGATTGTCAATGACCCTACTTATGTGAAGATGATAAGTCATCCAAAGAAAAATCGTGAGCCCAAAAGACTTTAACATCTTGTCTTTAATCAACCCCACGTGTCCAATCACATGAAGATATGGGGTGGCTAAGAAGAAACCTCAGAATTCTTATCCACAAAAATTGCAATGCATAAAAGCTATGGCATCACAGTCTCCTTTGGCTCTTCTATGACATAAGTACTCTAATACAAACACACACACAAAAAAGACAATATCATGTCACCGTCCTTAGAGTACATGCTTTATACTAGGATCAATTTTTTATCTCGGTGTTCCATAATTGCTTCGCTAATCCAATGTGTTGCGCTGATGAGAGCTCGGCCTTGATATGATTTAAGACGAGTCTCAAAATCAACTGACCATATTCTTATTGCATTTATCCAAAACTCAAATCGTTGTCACTAAGTGGAAATGGAGATAAGTGCTCATGGGAGGTTATGGAGTGTGACGAATTCAAGAATCATGTTGTCAGCGTAGACCTCAGTAGCAGTATTCTCTCTAGTACCACTAGTCCTTTTAATCAACTCTATTGTGTTCACTTTCTATTGGAGGTTCTATAGTTAGTTTCCAAGAGATTTATGCTTATTTGCAATTTATCGTAATCACATATATTGTATCATTAAACAAGGTGATGATACATAAAATTTGAAAATATTTTCGATCTATGGTTATCATCTTTGTTGTCCGTGATTCTACTATTAGAAATATTCTTAGGAAATGGAGAATTACTCCTGTTCATCAATGTGAAAAATGGCAAAAGTCTACTTTTTTTTTTTTTGTCAAAGGGCAAAGGTCTTTTCGCTGGCCTCTCAAGTTTGGTCTTCTCGTGGAAAAAATATGAGATGCCATTTAAGGGATCAACTATGTAATTATGACTGCACATGAACAATTAATTACAGCATGCATGAGAATGCGATCTAATTTCTCGCTCGTGGATGTGTGGCCATTTGAAAAAAAATGCATATTTGTTTCTAACTCTTAACATTACTTTAAAAAAAAAACATGGAGACTTAGGCAATGTATTGAAATTACAAAACATCTCGGGATAACGACACATTTACCTTCCATGAAAGTTTTGTTAGACGATTTTTCTGTCAAAACAACGTCATTTTTATTTCATTTAAGCCATGTGGGCACTATGTCAACATTGATTGCTTCTCTAGCATCCAAGTAAGCAAATTTTTAACGATTTTCATAGACAGAATTTTAACGGAAACTAAGGGCCCGTTTGGTAACGTGCCAAATAGTGAAAATTTCTGTTTTTTTGTTCCCAGAAATAGTTTGGGAACAGAAATGCGTTTGGTAAACTTTTTGTTCCTTGGCACATTTTTGCAAAAATTTATGCCGATAAACAGTTTTGAAAGAGAAACAAGAAGTAAAAAAAAGTTGCTTCTTATTTCTCGGCACAATTTTGAGAATCGGTTTTTTTTCTTCTTTTTCTTTTTTTTCTTTTCTTATTTTTGTGTTGTTCTTCCCTGGGCTGGGCCGGCGGCCGGCAACCGGCCGCAGCCCAAGGCCGGCGAGGGCGTCACGGCCCTCGCGGTCGCCAGCGGAGCGAGGGTCGCCCCTCGCCGCGGGGGCGAGGCGGACCCTCGCCTAGATCGAGGCGAGGTCGAGCCTCGCCGTCGGTCGCGACGGCGAGGTCGGCCTCGCCTAGGGCGGCGAGGCTCGGCCTCGCCCGGATCTGGCAGGCTCGGCCTCGCCCAGATCTGGCAGGCCGAGCCTCGTCGTCATGACCACTGAAGCCGACCTCGCCGTCTCTGGGCAAGGCCGCCTCGCCCGGGCGGCGAGTCCGGCCTCGCCCTCGCCGCGAGCGGCTGACCTCGCCTCCGCCGGCGGCCGGCGAGGGCCGTGACGCCCTCGCTGGCCCCGGGCTATGGCCGGTCGCCGGTCGCCTGCGACCGGCCATGGCCAAAGAAGAAAATGGGTAAAAAGAAAAAAAAAATTAAACAATTCAAAAATATTATTAAAATATTATTTGGGAACAGAAATTTTGTGTAGTTACCAAACGCATTTCTGTTCTTTTCTACTCTAGGAATAGAAATTTTGGACAGTTTATCAAACGCCTTCAAATACTCAGAAATTGTTTCCGGGTACATAATAAAAAAAAATCATTTCTGTTCAGAAATAGCTCCCGGGCACAGAATGGTATTCATGTGCACCCTAAATGTGTCACACAGGTACAAAAGCGGAATTTTTTTGTGTCACGGAAAAAAGTCTAGGGTAAATATATCACAGTGGGCATAGTTTAGGGTTTTTGGTGGCTTTTGCCCTAAAAAGAATTGGATAATGATTTATGAAAGTTTATAAAAAATATTTCCCAAGAATCAAGAGAAACATAGATAAAAATCAAAGAGACAAGATATTGATGAAGGAATCTCCTTCCACAAGAATCGTCTTTTTTTGTTGCGTGGGGGGGTGGCTGGCGGGGCGGCAAATTTGACTAATAGGAGATTATTCTATTAATTTTAACAAGGACATATTCGAAAAAATATAAAAATTAGTATCAGTTGATAATGAATTATATTCAAATATAAAAAAAAAATTGCTTTGGTCGAAAACATCGAATAAAACATAAAGATCATCTCCTTCAGTCCATCTTTTACGCTTATGTTATTGACAATATAAATTACCCCGATCAAGTGAGGTAAACATAAGAAAAAAATGTCCAAACACGAGTTGGTTTTTGGTAGCAAATATAAATAATTTATTTACCCATAATTTGATACACAAGTATATCAACCAAATGATTTCTCCGGGAAAGCTAAAGTTTGACAATCTCATATACATGCAGCACTCCAGCATCATATATCTAAGCGTAAATGTCATTGTTGTTTCACAAACTTATAAACAGAATACCATCTTAAAGATATTGCACTAGGATGGACTCTTGGAGTATACGAAGGCAAAAAACCAATACAGGAAAGGCCTAACCACTTATGATCCATAAAAATTTTATAACAAGTAAGTAATTAATGATAAAATAGATATATATATATAGATATATATTTATGTATAGTGGATATTCGTAAAATAGTACTCCTTAAGTATCATATTATATTATTTAAAATTATAGTTGGATAGTATATAACTTCCATGGAAAATAATAAAAACAATTATAATTTCCAAGATGTTCATTCATTCCTTACTCGCCGTATGCATGTATTTCACGTAGTAATTAAGCTTTCATCCTTACTTAGCTATTTTCAATACAAAATTGATCGATTAATTACTTGGATGAAACCAATTGACCAGATCGAAACTCAACCGAGATTACAAATGAATTGAGCTAACAAGTTTTGTACGATCAATGTATTCTGCACACCGTATCACGCTAAACATCATATTATATAATTAACATTTACAATTGGACTGCACTATATAAACTTGAATTCAAAAATTCATGATCTTCAAGTAACCCGCCATCGCGCGTGCTAAAATGCTAGTGTCATTATACAATGGGAGTGAAGAATGGGAATGGAATTTTCTCACATCGAGATTAACTTTTGATGCGATAACGCACAATGAATGTTTGGAAAGGAATCAAAGAATGATGAATACCTATTTACCAAAGATAAAGCTTTTTTCCCTCCTTTTCTTCTGTAAATAACAGAACTGCATTAAACAAAACAAGTCAAGTTTCATCGGTCTGAAGTATATGTACTCCCAGCGGAGTCTACATACAAAAGGTCTTTAATAACATCTGGAACAGAGAAATAAATAACAAACTGCAGATGTTCTTCCTTTGCAAGTAGGGCCAATGAATCCGTGTAAACGGGTCATATTATTTGGCTAATTCTAATCTAAGGCCATCTCTTAGTGCCATGTTTCTGCCGCAACAAGTTCACGGTTTGTCGGAGCTTCTATAGTTCCTAAGAGATTTATGCTCACTTGCAACTTGAACATGATATATAAAATCTAAAAATATTTTCAATCGATGATTACCATCTCTTAATTTTGGTGATTCCAAGACTACGTATACTGCTAGGGACTTCTTATTAGTCAATCTACAAGATGCGCAAAAGTATTCCCGTGGGTCTCTCAAGTTTGGTCCTTATGCAGGCAAAAAAAGTCCTCCCATGGGACTTCTAATTTGTATCTTGTCGATGTATGACCATTTTTGCCCTTTTGAAAAAAAATGCCTATTTGCTTGACATCTCTTAGGATTTCATTTCACGAAAAATGAGTGATTTGAAAAAATAATTTTTAAAAAATAATCGCTTATATCGCTTACAAAAATAAATAAATTAAAATTTTTTTCATTGCCTACGAAAATAGTTAGGCATAAATTGTTATCGATGATGAAAACATTTTCTGTTGACTAATTTTTCTAAACGATAGAAGCAATCATTTTTAGCTAAACGAATGCATTCTCAACAAAAAAAATAATAATAACAGGGAGGCTTAAGCGATATGTTGAAATTGCAGAACATCTCCGGCAAGACATACATACATAGTACCTTCCATATTTCATTATCACTTTGTCAGCACCTCAGTTGTTCATGTTAATTGGATACTCTGTTATAAGAACCTATGGAAACAGTGACCCATGAGGAAATCAAGCGGATAGGCCAATAGAATGTGCCCGTTATTTAGACTCAAATAGTCCAAGTCTTTCCCTCGTTTGTATCAGGCGATATCTTGAATCAGATTTCGGGTCAAAACTAAATTTGCCCCTTTGATCTGATTGGTGGTTGGGTCTTCACACTGAAATTGAAGAGTCCCACAACAAAATTTCTTTCTTAGACTAGCCCTTATTTCAGTGAGCTCCATACAAGCAAACAGACGGTGTCACGTGACACCGTCTGTCTGCTTGTATGGAGCTCACTGAAATAAGTGGCCAAAGCACGCCAATTTTTCCCTACATAAAGCCTGATGATTTTCCTCTCCACTCTCATCCTTAGTCTATCTTTTTCTTGCCGAATTATCAGAGAAGAACCGAAATGGATTTCTATGTCACCTGCCTCCTCTACCTCTCTCTTTCTCTTCTCTTCTTCGTGTTTTGGAAGAAGCGCGTCACTCCTCGCCTCCCACCCGGAACGAAAGGATGGCCTGTCCTCGGCGAGACGCTAGAATTCATGGCCGCCGGAAGGAGCGGCTGTCCCGAGAAATTCGTGAACGATCGCACCACCAAGTACTCGTCGGATGTCTTCCGGACCAACTTGTATGGGGAGGACATGGCCTTGTTCTGCAGCGCCTCCGGCAACAAGTTCCTGTTCTCCGGCGATAACAAGTACATCACCTCCTGGTGGCCCGAATCCATGATAAAGATCGGCTTGTTTCAGGAAACCCTAAAGAAGTTGGATGCAAAGAAAAAGCGCAGCTTCTTGTCGGAGTTCCTGAAGCCCGAAGCCCTCCAACATTACATACCCGTCATGGACTCCATGACTAGGGACCACTTGGCGACGGATTGGTCTCCACATAAGGAAGTGCAGGTCTTTCCTCTCTCAAAGAGCTATACCTTCGCTTTGGCGTGTCGCTTGTTCATGAACATCAGAGATCCCAAGATTGTGTCGAAGTTCGCCAACTCGTTTGCTCGAGTCGCTCCCGGGTTCATGGCGGTGCCAATAAATATCCCGGGCACGCCATTCAACAGAGCAATGGAAGGAGGAAAAGTCATGAGGCAAGAGCTCTTGAACATAATTAGGCGAAGGAAGATGGAGATTTCGGAGGGCAAAGACGCGAATGCGAGGGACCTCTTGTCTCGATCGCTTCTTGAAGGAGACGACGACGGGACCATTTTCTACGAGATGGACGCTTCCAACAAGATCATGGGATTGCTCATTGCGAGTCACGACACCACGAGCACTTCAATCACAGCCATAGTGAATTATTTGGCTCAGTTTCCCCACATCTATGAGCGGGTTCATCAAGGTAATAAACTTCAAATTCGACTTGGTCGCTTCTGATATACTTATCAAATGCCACCCCATTGAGTTAGTCTTGAGAGGATCAAGTAACAATAGAAAGAACAGATGAGAGCACTTTATTAAGTCCCACAATGTCTCGATCTGCCTGTGAAGGCTGAATCTTGAGGCCTGTCCATTCAGTATTTGCTTAACAATAAACTTTTCTTATGTTCATAGAACAAATGGAGATAGCCAAATCCAAGGGTCCAGATGAACTTCTCAACTGGGAGGACGTCCAGAAGATGAAGTATTCGTGGAACGTGCTCTGCGAGTCGATGAGATTGTTGCCGCCTGCACAAGGGGCGTATAGAGAGGCAACGACAGATTTCACTTTCGCCGGTTATACAATTCCAAAGGGATGGAAGGTAATTTTCGAATATGTGTCGAGTGCTCGCCAAATGCTAAGCTGTGCATTGAGTGTATAAATAATCAGCCTTGTGACTGATGCATTGTGATTCTGACTGTGTAATAGACATTTTGGACGGTGCACTCCACGCACAAGAACCCCAGGTATTTCCCTGATCCGGAGAAGTTCGATCCCTCGAGATTCGAAGGAAACGGGCCTGCACCTTTCACCTTCGTTCCCTTCGGAGGCGGACCTCGCATGTGCCCTGGAAAAGAGTACGCGCGGCTCGAAATACTCGTTTTCATGCACAATCTGGTGACCAAGTTCAAGCTCGAGAAGGTCATACCAGACGAGAAATTTATCTATAATCCGTCGCCGGTTCCCGTCGAAGGTCTTCGGATTCGCCTACTACCCTACAACTAGATATCTTCCAGCTATTCATATGATTTACAGGGCTTATCGAAACTTGGTCACGAGTACTCAGATCATAATAAGTATGATTTCAAGACTTAACTCCGGCAACCGCAGCGCAAAATAACATGTGGAGCGTCCAGCGATCACCGGTGCTCTCTGCAGCCGTTTTGCCCCGCTCCGGCATAGCTTCGACCTCCGCCTTCAGCACGTATGCCATCTTACCTTCGTTTTTTTGGTATTTGATGTTTGTGCATGTTCATTTCAGCTCACAATAATTCTGGTGCACTTGACCGCTTATTGCTCACCCTGTGAAGTCTGGACGCCACAAAGTACGAAAAGATCTTATCATCACGATAGTCTGGTTGAATAATTTGAGCAAACTATGTCGCATTCAATGATATTCCGGAGCGATCGATGCGGATCTTCTACCTCACACGGTCCTCCCATTCGCGTCTCGTTCAATTTTCAACAGTCAGAATACGTAAATGACGCGTACTCAACGATAAAAACGGATCGAGATGCCTAAGGAAGCACTTTAAACGATAGATGATCCACATACTTTGTGGAATCCACATGGGGAGTAATTCGTGCAGATTTTCACAATTAGAGAAAAGTTAAGTGGAATGGATCCACATGATACTCATATTTCCTATTAAACATGGAGATAAGTAGCACAAGTCCATGGAGAACGTAAAGCCCAAAAAAAGGACCCGATGCATATTCACATTTCCACAGGAGAAAAAAGGCCTATTGAAATTCATATCCGTATTCTCCGCTTAAAATCATTCAAAATCCATCTCGAATCTTGGATCGGTGACACGTTATAAAGGGTGGAAAAGCTCATCTCAAAAACCTAGCTTGTCGGGATAAGGAACACAACTCATTATAAGCCTTGGAATATCTCCTTAATTGGCCGAGGTGGGACTTTGCCCCCATTAATCAGGCACGAGCATAGTGTGTACGAAGGAAATAGTGTTAATAATTGAAATCCTTTTCTTTTTAGTTGTTTACCCTAAAATAACTGGTCGCGATGACGGAACCATATGAAGAACGATTAATTAGATAGTCTGAAAAAAGCTTCTCAGGCAACATAAAATGATGCACATGATACCATGATGATGATTTTTTTATGTAAAAAAAGGTTGGAGTTTTTGCCTTCCCACAAATATAAAATCAAGCAACTTATTAAAAGAAAATTTTCATTTATCTCGCTTTTTAACTTTTTCAAATAAATAGTGCTCACTCATCGAGTGACAACCCACTTGCTTTCGTGCACGACCACCTTAATCAACGCTTCTTTTTTAGCATAACTAGCCCGCTACGTGCATGCCTGAACCGTGTTGTCTCAGCGGCGAATAAGTTATCCAGCATTGCTTTTCACTTCCAATGGAATATGTACGATCATTTTTGTGGCATTTGAGAAAAAAAAAATTACGAGGACCTCTAAACATGAAACCATAATGACGCGTTCATCCCTCTACTTGATAAGGAGGTCACATAACGACCCTCGCGATGTCTATTCTCGAGCCCTCTCGGGCTTAGCCCGCCCTTTAACAGCGACTACATTTCGACCCCGTCCTACAATAATCAATCATACATAGTCCATAATGAGCAAGAAACAGACACGTTCGATCACAAGAGAATCTTTACCGGTCGAGCGGCCCTTCTTTCGCCGCGAAACCGGTGGGCACGGGTTGCAATCCCCCATCCGATGGGTCCACCATCTCCTGTCGATCTTTGCTACATGCTTGGGGTCGGGGCGGCACTCGTCCCACCCAACATGCAGAAGCGCGAATTGAACGCGGGACCACTCTCACAGCTCACCGAGACCCCACCACTCGCATCCGCGCGGGTGATACCAAATCGAAAACGAAAGGACACGTGGACGCCTCCCATTCACCCGTCTACTACTATTACTACTCCTGGTAAGTGCACGGGGTGTCTAATAACAACGAGTGCCAATTTCTCTTCGGTCCTCCCAAAAAGTGCCAAATTTCATTTTAACCCCCCCATTTCGCCGTCCACCCGGCGAGAAACTTCATTCTGTTCAAGTCGAATTACCCCGGATCGAACCGATGCCGCGTTTTTCCTTCAGCGAAATGAACATTCAACGTGGCTACGCTCGTCGAATTCCCGACCCGATCGGGTGAAATTGCAAATCTTTCCCATGAGGTCGGGGGGACAATCTCGAATTTCTCTAAAGAAAGGGCCAAGAAGCAAAAATACGGAAAATGGTTGGGAAACGGTGGTAAGCCCGGGCCCCACTCCATCCCGCACCGTCCAAATGGAACTGGACCCCACCGTCCATGCCCCTCCACGTGGCCTCGCTGTCAATTCCAGCGCGGCTCGCGCTTCGGTCCGGTCCTTTTTTCCGCATCGCCAACAGTACTACCGACAAAAAGTTCCACCACAGGGTCGTAATGATGCGCCGCGTAACACCCGATCGCAATCACCATCGCAGAATGTCGGTGCTCGCTTGCACTCAGCTCAGCTCAGGTCAGCTTTTTTTTTTTTTTTGGAGAATTAAAATTAATAATACTAATAAAAGAAATTCGGCATAAAATTAAATTAATCGAATGTCTCAGCGAAGAAAGAGGAGCAAAGGCAACAGCGGAAGGGTGAGAAGAAGTGGCCAAAAAAATGAAAATGAAGAAAAGAAAAAAGAGGGGGACAAAAAAAAAATCGACGTGGAAATTACAACTCAGGACATGAGGAGAGAAGAAACCACGGTGGCGGAGACGGCGACGACCGCCGCAAGCAATGCCGGAGCCCTCGAGTCGCCGGCCGCGTTGTCCGACTTGCTGTCCGCGGACTCCACCGCCGCCGGGCCGGCCGCCGGAGCATCCCCCGGCGTCGCCGTGGGAGGTGCCGGAGGCGAGGCCGCCAGGGGCGACGGGGCCTTCGCCGCCGGGTCCGGAGCTGGGCTGACCGGGGCCAGGGAAGGCGCGGTCACGGGCTCCGGCGCCGGCGCGGGGGAGGGGGACTTGCCGAACAGCTCGGCGGGGAGGAGGACGCTGTCGACGGTGAAGATCGCGACGGGCGTGGAGTCGAGCACCGTGCTGGCCACCCGCGAGGAGTCGACCCCGGTGTCGAGCGTGACGGAGTCGCCGGCGGTCTTCACGGAGAAGTCGTACTTGCCGGCGCCGTTCGTGGCGAGGGTGCTGATCGGGGCGTTGCTCGTCTTCAGGGAGCCGATGGGGGTGTAGTCCGCCACCGCGTGGTACAGCAGGAGCGACACGAGCTCGGCATTGGTGAACTTGCTCAGGTCGGGCACGCCCTTGGCCTTGAACGACTCGTCGTTGGGCGCGAACACCGTCAGGCCCTTCGCCATCGCCGTCTGGTACGTCTTGATGACGCCGCTCGACACGAGGAGGCTCGCGAACGTCTTGCACCCGGCCTTCTCGAGCAGCGCCGTCACGTTCGCGTCCGACGACGACGGCGCCGGGGCGGCGAGGATCGCCGGGACCATGATGGGGGCGCTGATCTGGAGCACGGAGATGTTGTAGGGGATCTGCTTCACCGACTTGGTGTACGACGAGTCGAGCTTCGACCCGGGGGCGGCGGCGCCGAACCCCACCTTACCGCCCTGGAGGTCGGTGATGTTGACGAAGCCGGTGTTGCCGGGGGCGTTCCCGGTGGTCTGGTACAGGGTGGTGGAGAGGGTGGAGCCCTTGGGGATCTGGTGGAGCTTCTGGGGGTCGAAGTAGTCGAGGACGACGTGGATGGCGAGCTCGTTCTTGATGACGGAGAGGGGCTTCTTGCCGGCGAGGTCGGCCATGGCGCCGTTGTCGAGGGCGAGGACGGTGATGGTCTGGCGGCTGTTGATCTCGTCGGCCAGCTTGGTCTGGCTGAGGTAGGAGTTGAAGAGCGAGTACTCGGGGAAGCCCTCGAGGATCGCGGTGATGTTGTGGGCAGAGACGACGGCGGCGGCGGAGCACAGGAGGAGGAGGAAGGCGGCGAGGGGGCGTAGTGCGCACATGGTGAAGGTTAGCACTTTAGTAGTTGCTGCGAGAACAGAGCGAGAAAGAGCGAGAGTGAAGGCCGTGAGTGGAGTGAGCGAGGGGTGATTAATAGAGAGGCAGCGGGAGGCTAACCAGGATTGGTCAGGGGATTCAACCATGGTTAAGGGTGGGGTCCACTTGGGTGGGGTTTTGGTCACAGCTGGAAAACGTTAAAAGGGCTTCTGCGACGGTGCTGGCATACGCTGCTTTGCCGATGCTGTCTTCTTGCTTTTTTTCCCCACCACCTCCGCCAGGTCGAATTGACGGAAATGGCCCTCGCCCTCTTACTCGTGTTTGCATGTGATGGGTGGCGCTTTCGAATTGATTTTTCGAGGGTCACATGTTTAACTTTTCCCTACATGGATTTGTGCGCGCCTTTTTGTTTTTAAACCATTTTAAGCGTGTCCTTAATCGCATTCAACGCATCAATTTAGCTTAGCTGAGATAAACTGTTTTACCACTAATTTCCACATAGATTCCCATCTCTCTCTCTCTCTCTTCTCAACCACCGTTAAAGCGTCATCATTCGCGATGCCATACATTTCCATCATTCGTGTACCGTGTGATCTGAAAGAGAGAGGGATCGAGATTGGTTAGCGAGGTCAAGAGGTGTCGCCGGCGATTGTGGCGCTTGTAAAAGGAGTTGGTGACAATGATGATCAAGCTGGCATATGGTAGAGAGACAGTGGGACGATAGATTAGCATTTTCTAAGTGTGATTAAATTCAAATGTGTGAACAAAGTTTGGTTTGTGGCCACGAATTCCCAATTAATTTGAAGGGTTCTTCTTCAATCATGATTGAAAAATACAAGCATAGCACCTTTGCCTTTCCTTTTTTTTTTCCTTTGGATAAAACATAAATCTTCATTCCATAAAAACATTCGCTAGCCCAAGCAAGGGCCATCCTCACCCAAGGCTGGCAAAGGCGGTCCTCGCCAAACCCGACGAGGTCATTGAGGCCCCTGGCGATGGCTGACGGAGGGAAAAAAAAAGGGAAAATAAAAGAACGAAAATTCATAAAAGTAAAAGAAAAATTTGCAAAAATTGTTGCGTTAGCTCCGGTAGACCATATAGGACGATCGGTGCCATGTAGCCTGAAAGACTAAATTGGCAAATTATCAAAATGTTATCGTTTAAGGTTCGTTACTAAATTGACACATTAGTAATAGTCACCAAATAATAGGTTTAAGACTTTTTCGGCTATATTTTTATTGTTTTTGTTGATTTTTATTGAACCGTGAGATCCGTGGATAATTCACATGAAACCATCAAATCAGACGGCTCCCATCACTCGATTGACAGACAGATCAAGCCTTCCCGACGCTTGGGATCCTTCCTGTGGGGACGCGTCCCTAAAGCAGGCCTTCTTTTTCCCAACAGCTTCGATTTTCTTTTTGCTCGTAACGGTTTTTTCAATCGGCGTTCCTTTCGCAACGGTCGAGCGGCTCGAGCGGGGGAAAGAGCGCTTTTACGCCGTTGGTTCGCGTTTCGAAATTCAACGGATAGTCAACGGAATTGGAAGGTCAAGATTCCGTCATTATGGGGAGTAGTTGCTAGCTTGTCGGCGGTTGGCAAAAGGCTACACGATTACTAGAATGTCATTATCACCGCCGGGGTGGGCTAATTTAAGCTAATAATAATTTTGCCTGTGCTTCATTTATTTGGCTGGGGGAAAAAATAAATGCTATGCTACGTAAATTATTACGTTAGGAATCGCACCTTGGTGCGATCTCATTGAATTATTTGGTCGGGGGGAATGCAACAAGATAGTTTGATTTAGGGAATATCCGAGGAATGTGCAATTAATCGAGACTTTTAAGAAAGCGGTTTAACAATGATTAGCATGATTGGTAGCTCTGTTCCGGGGCGTTTGGTGGTTATCGACACGCTAATTAAGTTCATGTGGGGCTAAAAGCGACAGATGGGAAAATGAATTTCTCATTTCGTAGGTCATCTGGCATTGACGTTATCGATAATGGTATTGCTCTGTTTAAGGAAAGACTGTGGTTTTCAATGCGCCGCCTCCCTCGTGTTGTGTGTAGTAAGCACGTCGAAAATCGACGTGTTTTCTTATCGAGTATACTTGACGAGCATCTCGAGACACTCGCTAAAAAGACCCTCGTTCATATCAGCCCCGATCTCTTAAACTGTAATGCTTCGCAATTATACACATTTTCAGTAATTTCTATATGCAATGTCGAATAAGTAGATTTTTTAAAAAAAAATTTACAGATTAGATATATTATTTTGATATCGAATTGCTAGTAAATCTCCTTGGAAAGCATCCAAGACAAAAATGATGTTTTCGAGCAGCCAAAGACAATGACAAGAGCAAGACAAAACAACCAACGGTAGAAACCCTAAACAATTGAAAGTGATGTTGTTGTTGCAGTGAAGAATGGATGCTTCATGAACAAAAACCAAATGCTTGCCCGTGGCTGAGCATAATTCATGGAAAACTATAGGAGAAGAGTTCCCACTAAGAACAAGGAATATCACAATAAATATGATTATTGTAAGTTCATGAAATGAAATCATATTGTATTCTCAACACATTTGATTAGATCTATTTTTGTCGAAATGAAAAATCGGTTTATATGCTTCTATCACGGTAGCAAACATGATATACTAGACATGAACCGATGCTTTTGGCGGGCTTCGTGAGATACTCCAAATAATGAATGTATGAGAGAAACAATCGATCATTGTAATGAATTGGATAATATTGGCGATGCAAGCTTTTGAGACGGCGAAAGAAATTATGAAATGAAGAATTTGGTTCTTAAAAAAGACGGTGTATTACGCAAATTTCTATGATGGTTCTAGTGTACAAATTACAGGAAATTTGATTATCAAAATTTTATTTTGCAATGATATAAAAATGTCAAAATGGGAGTATGGCATGAAGGCGGGAAAATCACCTGATCCATCGTAAATCTATTATACGGATACCAATTCAATCCTAAACTTTTCAATTTTGTCAATTTAATGCTAAACTTTTGCGCGAAATTTCAATATAGTAATTCCGGCCAGTTTTCGTCGGAAATCACTAACGTGGTCAACGTGCTAATAGATTTAGGACTAATTGGATAATGCCCTAGCATGAAGGTTGATATTCTCCATAAAAAATGTTATGTTGTTATGTACTATACATGAATGCCTTAAACGATATTTAGCAATATAGAAACACATTTATCATACTCGTGACCCGTCCTTCTTAAAAAAATCAAATGATACTCCATAAAATCGCTTTCCTAATGTCACTTTAAATGGGAATAATTTTCTCCAATCGCAAATTGTAGACGACTACGATATAAGTTGCTTGTTGGTAAAATATCCTTTTGCATAGATAGATGCGAACATTGTAATATAAAGGGGATGCACTTCTTAGATTCTTTTGTACTCACGATTCATTAACATTCGAGGAAACCTTTCTTACCTGGTCGAGCCATCACTGTCCCTCTGTCCCCCTCAACTTTTCTCTCTCTGTTTTTTTTTTGGCCACGTGCAGCCTCGGCGAGGGCCGCCATGACCGTCATGACCTTGGATCAAGGTGACGGCATGCGCCGCGGTGTGCGCGTGCGTGAGAGAGAGAGAGAGAGAGAGAGAGAGAGAGAGAGAGAGAGAGAGAGAGAGAGAGAGAGAGAGAGAGAGAGAGAGAGAGAGAGAGAGAGAGAGAGAGAGAGAGAGAGAGAGAGAGAGAGGAAAATGGGGATTTCAGAAAGATGAGCTCTGTGTCTTAGGTGCCTTCACGGCGGCGGCAGAGACTACGAGTCCCTTCATTTGGGGTGGTGACGATGGTGGCATGAGTGGCTGGAAGCTGCCTCCCACCGTGGCGCCGACGAGGGCCGTGGTGGCTGAGTTGGGGGTTAGGGTTTGTGAGTTAGGAATTGGATGTTGGTGAATTTGAGAAAATGAATAGAAAATTCTTGTGAAAAGAAACGGCAATACCATATAAATAGACGCACAATTTTACTGAAAGTGAAAAGAATTTTCATTTTCAAAAGAGGTAATCCGTTTGGAAGTTGCTTTTCCCAAGGACTTCTGGCAAAAGCAAATACCATTGGACGAATTTTTTCTTTTTAAAGCTTTAGGAAAATACGATTGCACTTTTAAGACGGCCTTTAGCTTAAGGCAAGTCTTTGAGCTTTGAGTATTTTCAGAATACAAAAATATTTTTTTCTCTTCCAACTTTGTTCTCGCTAAACTTTCACAATTCTGGAAATGACCCTATCTCAGGCGACATCATGGGCGAGGGTTTAGCTACCGGCAAGGCCAAATCTGGCTACTGACGAGCCTAATCTAGCACCGATAGCCTTGCTTGGGTCACTTGACCCTAGACAACGTTACTTGAAGTCCTGCAACCACAGGCAAGGTTGCCGCCGCCAGATCTGGCTCACCGACAGCCACATTTGGCCTCATCGGCCATTTTGTCGTTCGTCGGTTTTTAGTGTTTTTTTAGAAAAAAAAAAGCTAAATTGCTTTATAAAGTGTAATTTTTCCAAACACCATTTAAACTAAGATTGTTTCCCTATTCACTTTTAAATTACAATTTACCAAATGCTACTTGTATTTCGAAAAATTCTTTAACCTAAAGGCCTTTACATTTTCCCTAAGACTTTCTTCAAAACCCAAACCAAACACAGCCTATAAATAAGTTAAGATTCAGGTGTGTTTTATTTACTTTCCCCTTTTATTTGGTACAAGTATCAGGTCCTTCCATTGAATTAATCACATGAATACATACAAGCGATTCAACTTAGATGCATAAGTAAATGAATTCTGAATTAACGAAACACTCCATTAATCACATAAACAGAGTAAAACACGAGCCAAAACTTAAATGAGTGTTCTAAAAATGAAATTCTTTATACTTGATAGTGTGGATGTCACGCGCATAATCCATTTGCTTACGAAAATAAATAAACGAAGTTTTTTTTTTGTCGTCCATAAAAATATTTAAACATAAATTGTTGTAGGTGATGAAAATATTTTTCACTGACTAATTACTTTCAGCGATACAAGCGATTATTCTAAGGAAAATATTTTTCAAATCATTCATTTTTCGCGAAATAAATAAAGCCTTAAATGATTGAATTAATTCATTACCATGTTCTCCCAATAGTTTGACCTT